TTTAGAGTTTACGTTATACAGGTATATGCTATAAATTTCCAATACTCTGTCAACGTATAATATTTTGGAATGCAATGGGTACGACACGATGTTAGAACGAAATGTCGAGAAGATGAAAGGACTAAATAATGCTACGACGTTTCATTCATTACCTCTTTTTATCGTTTTATCCAGTTCATTAATTCTTGCTAATATAAAGGTTTGTTTTCTGTTCCCGCACTGGTGAACTAGTGCAGTAAGCTTGAATGAGAAAAAATACACTTGTCCTACTCTAATTTATTGCACTAGTTACCAGTGTAGCAACAGGAAACAAGCCCCTTATGTTAAAGAAAAGTTTGCCATGGTACAAAAATACATGTAATAAATTGCATGTATAGTATAGTAATATACGAATATAATGTAAGAATTATTTTCAACTTTTTATTTTTATTTTATACATCTTACATATATCGAATATGTTTTAGATTCGTGAGTTTATCTGTGATCCTCTAAAATCATTAATTGTTTTTTATTGTATCCGATTTGTATCTCTCTATCTGTATCTTGTTTTCCGCGTTATCTCTGCACTTTATATCTCCCATTTTACTACAACCCAGTCGAAACGATGTCGAATCGACGTCAATTTGACGGTATCGATGTCGATTCGACATCGTTTTGACATCGATCGACGAATCATTTCTCACTGGGAATGACCCGTCTTATTCCAGTAAATATATATATATATATATATATATATATATATATACACACTTTGATATCTACGACTTAACGAACATCACAGCGTAATGTAATATATTTCTCGCAGCATTGAATATTCCAGCAAAATTATTGAGTGTATAATATTACTGGCATTGCTGCAATATTGCTAGAATACATTATGCTGTACGGGTTTTCTCGTGGTGTATCCACTTTTGCACAAATACTTTTTGAATATTATACTTTGCTATTTCTTTCCTAATAGCATTCTCAAAACTCCTCTACTTTATTTATATTTACAATATCCGTGTATGTCTTGATCTGCGTTGCATGCAATTTAACAATTAGAAAAGTGTTATTAACTTTATCACCAGGAGCGTACAATAAATTTAAAATTAGCTTGCGCTGATCGATATTATTAACTGATAATAAGCATTGTCGCATTTTTTGCATCTTGATATGGAATTCGTGATAAAACAATGCAGCTCATTAGAATTAAGGTGAGATGATTAACGCTCGCGTGTTTTGCTTTATATCTCTTGATATGACTATATTCACACGTTATCCACAAATTCCGGCGTTATCGAGAATGAACGAATTAATAAAATGATTAATATCATGTTTGCTCGCCGCTCACTATTATAAAAAATTCATTCATGTCTTCTTCTCTCAACACCTCTGACTCTATTATCTTCAGTATCCAATACCAATAGTTGTTAGACCCTTCAATCTATATGTGGTTTAACGTCTTTATAAATGGAAAACATTGTGTAAACTTTTAAATTAAATCTATAATGATGCATTTATTTCGCATTTGAAATGTTTTTGTGTATTTTTTGGAATTTTTATAGATTATGTTTCCCGGTATAATTCTACACAATTTATATTGGAAGTATGATTGCTCCAAGATAGTTTGCACTTCTGGTTTATATTAATTCTATTATTTTACAATGTAAATTTCAATATTTTTGTCATGTATTTATAAATTAATAAATGTTATAACAACGCGATTTAACTCAGTCTTTTGACCGAGCTTTATTATCGAAATTTTCACGTAAACGTATTGTAAGATAAGCGGAATTAATATGCTCTTATCAAAATGATTCATCTGTAAATTTTTTATCAGGCTTATTACATAAACAATCTTGCGAGAAATTAAATATAACTTTTCATGATAAGTAAAAATATGTAAAGTTTTCTCATAAATAATCCGCTATAAGTACTCGATAAATTCAAGCAATAAATGTAAGGACAATAGACAACTTGAGTATCATATCGGAAAAATACAATATCGTCGAAAGTTTTGAAGGCAAATAGACATTAAGTACATTATGTAAGGGTCAAGATGCATCGGTGTTAATATCATTGTGATAGAAGATAGAATGAAATGACTGTTGTGCCGTGCCTGGTGATAATTCAGAGCGTCAGAAATTGCGAGAGAAATGAAGCTTATTGTAGAAAACCACATCATCATTCTTCATATACTCTTTCCACTTACCAGGAACATTTGTCGACTGGCCGGATTCCTTCTGATAGGTTTTGATTTTAGACTACTGTTACACCAGTATCGAAATACTTCTCTGAACGGTCTTCAGTTCTTTATTTTTTTGTTTCTTACGTAGATATTTGCATTAGACAAAATTCGTAGTGGTGTTTGTGAGTGAAGTTGGAAGAGAGGAAAAATTCTTATTAATAAGTTTGATTACTTATATTTCTTAAAACATACAATGCAATTTAATCTCTAGTGATAACACAACTCGTAACTCGCTGTTGAAATTATTATGTAGAAAATTATTCGCATCTTTACTAACTTTGCTATAAATTATTATAAGAAAAAGTGAGAGACTCCCTCTTCTCTTTTCACCTCCGCAAGTCCTTTATTCGAATTGTAAGCAACATATCATGTATTGTGCGCGCGCGTGTGTGTGTATGTGTGTGTATGTGTGTGAGAGAGAGAGAGAGAGAGAAATACATACGCTATTATGGGATCGAAAACGAAAGAAAGTTTCAACAATCTTAGGTCACTAGATTTATTAAAATACCTTAACAAAAATTATCTACTCCTACAAATACAGCAGCATAGTTTTAGCAAGTATGCAATTTGTCCCTCGTTTCTATTCTCAGCTTTTTTATTCTTTCATGGAAATCAATGGTTATCTACAGCCAGTTGTCCCAGTTATTATTTACAGTCTTTTACAATACTTTTACCGCGACGTCGCATTTCAGATTAGCATTATAGGGTCTCCAACTACAGTCATATATATCTTTTTCTTTCCACTTTCGCACTGGAAATATAATCCGTAATCGCAGTCGCGATGCAATTTTAAGGGACTAGAATTTCAGCAACCGTTCCCGGACAAGCACCCGGTTGGCACGTTAACGTTACCTTACTAAAGTGATGACCGGTCGGACAGTCACGTAGAGCCTTGAAGCCACCTTGGCATAGGTAATATTTAGTACATACACATTCGTGCGGCACTAGATCGCCGTCGTTTACGCATACGGGAGGTTTAGGTGTAGTACTTCCATCGCAGCCAGCATTATTTGGATCCATACATGTTTTCGTTACATTGTTGAAATGTAGACCTGTACCGCAATTCTCCATATACCATTCCTCTTCGTAACATTTATAATACTTGTCGCAGTCACAGTCATGATTCTTCGCGTCGCCGTTCACACAGTCGCCGCAGTTCGTACCCGGGACGCAAGTCTTCGACGAGGGATCGAAATGTTTACCAGCCTCACAGTCGCGCAGAGCTTTGTGACCATGTTTGCATTCGTAATATTTAGTGCAGACACATTCGTGCGGTAGTAGTTCACCTTCGTTTATACAGTCGACAGGAATTTTGGTCGTGGTCGAGGTCGTGGTCGTGGTCGTGGTCGTGGTCGTGGTGGTCGTGGTCGTGGACGTTGGACACTCACCCGGTTGGCAAGACAACGTTCCCCTATCAAAGTGATAACCGGCCGGACAGTCGCGCAAAGCTTTGAAACCATTTTTGCATACGTAGTATTTAGTACATACGCATTCGTGCCCCAGTATTTCGCCTTCCGTGCATTTTTTATTTATCGGGGGGGTGGTCGGGGTTGTTGGGGTTGTCGGGGTTGTCGGGGATGTAGTGACACAATCCGAGATATCGAGAGCGACGCAGCCGTGCCAGGACTTACTGAAGT